TTCCTACTTATTCCTTAAAAAATACACCATTCATAAGGAATATTTCCTGCATATGATTCCTTGTCATTCCTTGAATTCTAAGGAATTATAGAACAAAAACATTCCTTATCAAAATTGATATGGAACCAAAATAATAAATATTCTTTTTCATTCCTTTTATTTTGTTCCTACTTATTATTTTCCTACTCATTCATATTCCTAGTTTAATGGTCACCAGTTAGAACCTAGGTTTTAGTAAACTGTCTTATACTATACGGCTTAGCTATTTGATATTTCAATAACTGCACGAATTAAGAGTACAGGGAATGATCATATTTAACAACTAATTAAAAGAAATTCCAATCCGGAGACCTAATTAATTATATACAGACACATAAACCTTATAAATTTAAAAAGACTAGGTTGTACTCATTCGTAATATAGGGGGCCAGAGCAAAAAAAAATTTTCTCATATAATTTTTTTTTTTGAAAAAACGGACCCTAACTTGGGCTTGAAAAAATCAAAAAATTGTGACGGGCTCTGTGCCAATGCACCTTCAGCACATGCATAGGGCCGGGCCTGGGATGGCGTTGTTAATAACTAACTAAAATCGATTTTCCAAACCACCTTGATTATGGATTTGAATAATGACCAACCACGCTGTACTGCTATGAATATTAATAAAAATCTACGTTTTTAATATTATTAGAATTACAATTGTTCCACTATTTCACATGTTATTATTCGGACTCTATCTGTACCTCATATGTGATTTGTTTATTTTCTAACAGCCCAAATGTTAATTAACCATATCTCAGTTAATAATAAATAAAAAAAATCTCTATACACATCTATATATTTTGCTACTATTGACTGCACCATATTTGTTCTGCATGTTGTCATTTAGATCCTTAATTTATAACTAACCATGGCATATTATTAAAATTTGAATGGACCAAAACACATCAGCTTCCATAATATAAAACATCTAAATAAGAAAATCCGGTTGGGCTCTTACATTTATATAAGTCTTCTAAGTTTTTAATTTCTATATAGTTCAAGGAATAATAGAAACAATATGTATGGTTAAGTAATATTCACCATCTAACTATTTTAATAGATGATCAAAGAGTTATAGCAAACACACCATCACAAATAATCACTTTGAGTGGTACACAAAAATGATTGAGAAATTGCTTTAAATACTATAAGTTAGTTACCACTTTTCAAAAACAAATTCAATCTAAATACTAATAATATTTGGTTTTAGATTTAGTGATAATTGTCCAGGTTTTATTATTTAGGAATGACATTGGGTTTATAAACTTTTATAAATATTTTATAAATTATTTTTAAACATTTAAGAAGATCAATTTAGTCTCTTTTTGCATCACAACGTATGGTAATTATGAAAATATTTATTCTAATAGCACAATTGAAAAATAGTATCACATTTGTGATAAAATTGAAATCCCTCTACCCCAAAATGGTTATATACTTTAATATATAAGTTAATAAAAACTTTTGCCAAAAAGAACTGATTTATAATTATTTTTAAAAAAATCATTAAAATTAATCTCATGTAGTATTCATGTTTTGTTATACTGTATTTCACTTTGACGGCTTGGAGAATAGTTTTAACTCTTAGGTTATGAACAAAAAGCAACTTTTGAAATAGAGAATCTCTATTATAAAAGTGGATTTGCTCCAATATATGTCTCTATAACAGAGTTCTTCTATTTATAGGGGAAAATATAGAGATATGTTACTTTCACCTCTAAATATAGAAGCAAAAAGTGATTTTTCTTTATATTTTTCTTTAAAATAGAGGAATTCTATTATAGACTCATACATTGGAATCTATATTTTAGAAAAAAAATATAGAGTTGTACATTAGAGATGCTTTTACACGTGTAAATTACATTCTTACACATTCCAATGCTTTCATCGTGTAGAGTATTTTAAGGCAAGTGAAATGTCTTTTAGGTCCTCTAACAAAAATAACAAAAACATAAGTAAGTAAACTAATGCACTTTATCTTTTAAACTCAAAATCAAAATTTAATTCTATTTAAAATCTTATCTTCCATCTTCATGTTTTTATCTCACAAATCCTTTGATGGTGAGTAGATATCAAAGCTTCATTTGATACCTCCCTCTCATCTCAAACTTCTTCAGTTGTTCACAAAGATTTAGTTCGCCGAGTAGTCGTATCTCGCTTTACCTCAAATTCCAACATGAGCCAAAATTTTGTGATTTATTCACTTGCCTCCCTTTGACCTCTCATATTTTAGTTGCTACTAATTTGCTTCGAAGGCGGTAACATAGAAAGAATTTTGGAGTTGCTTGCAATGGTAGGGTTATCAATTAATATGTGGAGGTTTAAGAAATTGTCGTTGAAGCAAAAGAATTGTCGTGTTGAGCCAACTAGAAGGCCTCATTTCATGGAAATATATGTTACAACTGTCATACTATTTAACCAAATTTGATTGTCAACATTAGGGGTGGGCGTGGATCGAACAATACCACAATTCTCAATATTTGTAATTTACTTCGTAATTTACAGATATCTGATTATTCGATTTGCTTTGCTTCGAAGATGTTTTGATAAACTTAGTTTCTTTGCATCTTTTGATTTTTGTTTGGTGCTGTTAACACTGATGGATTTTTATCCGGTTTAAGTGGTGTTTTTGTTTGAATATTTCAAACATAAAATATTTTAAAAATATACTTATTTCTATCGAGATTGTGTGTTTATCCTTTTGGTCTTCCTATAAAAATTTAGGTATGTGGAAACGATAAAAAGTTTATGGACCTAAATTAGAGTTTAGTACATAATTCATATATTTATAAACGATAAGGTTACTGGGTTAGTGTTTACGTTAGAAATAATTTGTTACCGGTTTCCTTATGAAACAAGCATTTAAATAATAATAATCTCACTCAGTTTAGATCTGCGTAAGAGGGTTTCTTTGGCCAGTGGAGCGATAAATATTTTCAATACAACACCACATATATAGTGTTTGTATTCTTTAAAAAAAAAGTTATATAAATATAAACAATATTAACCTATATATTCCAAGTTTGTTGCCTTTTTTAAAGCGCTCCATGTGCGCTGTTGGGAATTTCGTGTTGAACGATTATTAGGCTTGCTTGAAAGCTGAACAAGAAGTAGTCTATATAATAAATGAGATCACCTTCTAAAGCTCTGTCTCGATGGACAACATCACACATGCGTAGTGGATTTCCCAGTGGAAGACAGTGCATATAATGTATATATAAACTTCGCAAACCCCAACTATGTGAGCTGCTCTTCTCTCCAATACCCTTTATCATCATCAATGGAGTCGTCCAACGTATTAGGTCCATGTTATAAAGTTCCAGTCAAAGCCAGTTACGCATATATTTTCTATATAAATCTGTAATACAATAAAGCTTATCTTAGCAACAAAAATATGAATTGGGCAAAAAAAACTGGATCATTGCAATCGAGCCTAAAACGATTGTATAATTAGTATCGATCTTTGTCCAAAATTGGTATAATATCCGAATAGGTTCCAAATTTTGATGTCTAGAAGCCATAACCAAGCCCGATCCTAACCGAAATATACTTAAATATTAGTTTTCGACTGGTCTAAGCTTGCTTCTAATTCTGTTGATCAGATGAGAATTATAAAACCTATATTAAGAAAATAAAATTACTGTTTTATGTCAAAAAAGTCATAGAAACTAAAAAAAAAACAATGCATACTAAGTTCTTACATAAAAACTAGGTGTTTTGCCCGCACTTACGGTCTTAATAATTTTACGAATATCTATAAATAACTGCATAATCAATTTAAGTAAATTATAATAAATTATTATTCATAGACTCAAAATATTTAATAATAAACTAAACAAATTATTTATATATATAATTTTTTTCATCATCATATAAATAATTTTCATTACATAAATTAATTTTGAAAATACTCATAAATTTAAAATATTTAGTAATAAATTAATATCATTTTTAGACATAACAAAAAATGTATAATAAAATTATCTTTAGTAATGTTTTGGATAAAACAATATAGGGAGAATTTCAATTTTACCACAAGTGTCCTACCATTATTCAACTTTACCTTAGTTATATCAACATTTTTATAAATACCTTGAGAGACTGAATGAGAATGACGTAAATAACCTTCATGGTCAATTGAATAGACACTCTTTTCTCTCTCGATCCCTTTCCACACAGAAAAATAAAACCCTAGCAGTGTCCCGGCGGCCGGTGGCGGCCGGTGCCCTTTCCCAGAGCCGGAGGCTTCTCCACCCTCCATCTCTTGTTTTCTGTTTTGTTCTCTCGGCGGTTTCACCCTTCCTGGTGATATACTTCGACGGATCTGGAGGATCTGGAGTTCGATGGAGACCATGTCTTAGATCTGACCGCGCGGAGATGATGTAGAAAGAGGAAGACGGATCTCTGGAACGGCGGTGAGTCGGGTGAAGAGAAACCTTCGGGATGTGATCGGCTTTTAGGGTTTGTGGTGGTCGCCGACAAGACAATGGTTTTCAGCCTTGATTTGTCGGTCTCCAACAAAGAAACGGAGGCGTGTGGCTGTGTCTGTGTTCCTCTTTCTCGTAGATCTGAAGATTGGGCTTGGATTGCTTGGATTCGAAAGGAGAGGGTCGTGTGGGTGGACGTGTGGAGCATACTCAGCGCGTGGAGAGCTCGAAGTCTCATTCCCTTAAGGGTCTCTAACTTCACAGCGTGACTGGAGATTCATGCTTAGTTTGTTGTATACATCATAACTCAGCTTTTGTCTGTTTTGTTCCTTTGGCTGCTTTGATATTTATAACATGCTTAGTTTGTTGTATACATTCTACTCTGAGGATATCTGTCTATGTTGAAGTTCTACGTAGAAACCATGTTGGTGACTGGGGAACACAGGTACACTCTTCCTAATAGTTTCTTTAACGTTGAAAACATAGTGTTTTTATAGGAGAGTAAAAAGTCTTCGCTTGTTGTGCAGTTTGGAATGTTAATTGAGTACCTCTTTGAGAAGTTCCCTGATACTGATCTTGCGGGTGAGATATCCATTGATGATCTACAGGTGAGCTGCTTTTTACAATTAACATAGTAACGCTTTGTATGAAAACCAGAAGCAGTTCACTTTCTAACTTCAGATTTTTATATGATATAGTCCTGTTACAAAGAATCAAAACAAAAATTTGATGTGGATCCAGTCTTTAAGAAAAAGGCACAACTAGCCGTGGTCCGTATACAGGTAGATAACTAGTTCTATTTAGGAAGTGTCTCAGTATTCAGGTTCCTTGGTTTGCAAGTAATAAACCTACTCACTTGTCTCCTTTTTTTCTTGTTAAGGGTGAAGATCCTGTTTACTGCAAAACGTGGGCTAAGATTTGTGAAACCAGTCGAACCGAATGTGCCACGGTTTATCAACGCCTTCAGATTGAGCTTGTAAGAAAAGGTAAAGACATAGCTCAACTTACATACTAATATTGTCTGAGGCAGAAGAATTGAAAATGGAAAAAATGGTATATGGTTGATGACAGGGAGAAAGCTTTTACAAACCTTATATACCTAGCATGATTGAGGAATTGAGTGACAAAGGGTTGGTTGAAGAGAGTAAGGGAGCTCGTGTGATTAAAACCAAGGGGTTGGTTAAAGACAGTGAAGAAGCTCCTGTGGTCAATAACAAGGTTTTAGTTGAAGATAGTGAGGGAGCTCCTGTGGTTAACAAAAAGAGACTCTAACACACTCATACTTGTAAAGAGTGATGGTGCTTACACCTATGCTACAACAGATATGGCTGGTCTTTGGTGAGTTTTTTTTTTTTTTTTTGACTAAGTGGGTTAATCTAAAACTTGCATATTGTTGGATGAGATTGTCTGCTGATGAAAAAGATCTACCTGGTCTAGGTACCGGCTCAATGAAGAGAAAGTTGAGTGGATTATTTATGTTACAGATGTTGGTCAGGCAAAGCACTTTGAAACTTTCTTCAAAGTAGGTTTTTGATATTTATTATTTAACGTCTTGTGTAATGTTATGTCTTGACTGAAGCTGTGAATTGTAACTATGGTTAACTCTTTATTCAGGCTGCAAGAAAAGCGGGCTGACTTCCAGAAAATGATAAGACTTACCCTAGAGTTGAGCATGTTAAATTTGGTGCAGTCAATGGAGAAGATGGCAAGAAATTTAAAACCCGGGAGAGTAAAACAGTCCCACTAACTGACTTGCTAGATGAGGCCATGACTCGAAGTAAAGCTTCCATTACTAAGCGTGGTATGTAACTTATGTTTACGTTTTTGGATTGCTGAAACATTCAGTTGTTCAGTTATTTATGTGTCTTCCTATTCTCTTAATGAATGAATGAAAGTCTCACACCGGTATACTAATATATAAAGGGTTAGAGAAGATCCACTTATACTCAACTGGTCTACATGTTGTTTCACTCTTTCTCTCTCTCTTTGTTTAGCTGAAGAGGCTAGAGACGCTAAGGAATGGACACCAGAGGAGATAGACAAAACAGCTGAGGGACATCCCAGGATTAGCTCCTCCACAGCATTCGAGGAAGTTTAGACTTCTTTACCGGATAAAGAAGAAGTGTATAGATCTAGATAGAAAAGTGTACATACTCTTGCCAAAGCTTAGGTTTGTTTATAAATTGTTTTATGATGATTATTAAACTCTTTTAATATTTTGTATAAATCTTTATAAATAGATTTATAAACCTTGTAAATAGATTTATAAACTCTTATAAATGAATGATAAGTTCTTGTACATAGTTTTATAAACACTGATAAGAGAATTATAAACACTTATAAATATCTTTATAAGGATCCACTTATGAATTTTTGTAAGAATTTATATATTTTTATAAATGATTTATAAACTCCTCTAAATGAAAACTCTTATAAATTGTTTTATGAAGATTATTAAACTCTTTTAACATTTTGTATAAATCCTTATAAATAGATTTATAAACCTTATAAATAGATTTATAAACTCTTATAAATGGGTGATAAGTTCTTGTACATGGTTTTATAAACCCTTCTAAATAGTTTTATAAACCCTTATAAATTGTTTTCAAAACTTTATAAAATGATTTTAAACTTTCATATTTGATTGATCAACTCTTATAACACATGCAAAGCTCTTATTTGGCATTGACATAGTGTACATAAAAAGAAGAAAAGTAGGACAATAAATATGAGAGAGATCTTTGTACAATCTAAAACCTCACAGACTTTATTGTTGCTGATACTCAAGAAACTCTTATAAATCAGTTTATGAACTCTTATAAATCAGTTTATACATTAAACGTAGAATCCTTCATGAATTAGTTTATAAACCTCTATCGATCAGTTTACAAAATTTATAAATCATTTTATAAACCCATATAAATAAGTTGTAAGTCTTTATAAAATAGTTTTTAAGCCTTACCAAATTGGTTTATAATCATTGTTTAAGTCATTTATAAACCTTTATAAATTCATATAAATGGAAAAGTCAATTTATTAAAATTAATATATAACCTTACAAACCTTATAATTAGTTTATAAACCCTTTTAAATCAGTTTATAAACAGTTATAAATCAAATTTATAGACCATTATAAATACAATATGTGGTTAACCAGAATGTTCTTAAATTAGTTTAATAAATAATTCATAAGTTAACAAATAAACCTTAATATATTAGTTTATAAACCTTTATAAATCTGTTTAAAACTCTTATAATCAAATTATAACCTTCATAAATCATTTTATGTCTTTATAAACTAATATGTCATCAATAAACTCATATAGTTCAAATTAATTTTATAAACATTATTAAATAAACTTATAAATTTTTATAAATAAATTTATAAGTTCTTATAAATAAGTTTATACTTCTTATGTATAATCCTATAAACTTTTATAAATCAGTCATTACAATATATGAGCTAAGATCTGAACCACCAATAGCAAGATACCATGCTCGAGTATGTATGTTTATAAAGGTTTGTTAAACCAATCATATTGATATATAAAATAGTTTTGTATATATATATATATATATATATCATTATAAGAGTTTGTAAAATCTGTTATGAACCATTTTTAAGTTCTATAAGAGTTTATAAAGCTTTGTATGAACCATTTATGAAGTTTATAAAACACTTATAACCATTTATGAAGTTTATACTTGAGTGACTCCGATTTTGTTTTTTGTCTTGCAACTAGTGTGTTCTCGAACATTTTTAGCTACTTATATGGGTTTATAAATTATTTATAAGCCTTTATAAGTCATTTATAAGGTATATGTATCATTTATAAGTGTTTATAAATTATTTATAAATGGTTTATTAATCAGCTATAATGATTTATAACTCATTTATAAGAGTTTGTAAAACTTGTTATGAACCATTTTTCAATTTTATAAGCGTTTATAAAACCTTATATGAATATTATAAAGTTTATAAAACACTTATAAATATTTATAAAATTATTTATAAAGGTTTATAAAACTATTTATAAGGGTTTATAAAACCATGTACAAGTACTTATACCTATAGACATAATGCTCACAACATATCCAAAAGGTAGCATTCTTAACACTAATCCCACTGTTATTTATTTGTCCGCATCTTTATTTGTTTTTTTTCTTCCAGTACCTAGTTTTGTTTTTGAAGATCTTCTCATTTTCTTTTAAACCAGGAAGTCATGCTGATGAAGCAGCTCCATTCCACGTTTAATGCTGGCCAAGTCTTGTCTACTTGTCTTGTCTCTTTCTTGTTTGTCACAACTGCTATTGCGGATTTGACCTTTGCGGCTTCTGTTCCTCATCTTAGAAAGCTTAACTGGAACTCTACTAACCATATCTGCAAATCATGGGTTGGTGTCACTTGCACTTCTGATGGTACTGGTGTTCTTACTCTCCGCCTTCCTGGAATAGGACTTGTGGGAACCATCCCTCCAAACACACTTGGTAAACTAGAATCACTCAAGACTCTCAGTTTGAGATCAAACCTCATTGGTGGTAACCTTCCTCCTGATATATTCCTTCTCTCCCTTCACTACGTTACCTCTATCTCCAACATAACAACTTCTCCGGTGAGGTTCCTTCCTTTTTGTCACAACACCTCAGTATCTTGGATCTCTCTTTCAACTCTTTCACCGGGAAGATACCAGCAACGTTACAAAAACTGACTATTTTGAGTCTCCAGAATAACAAACTCTCTGGACCTATACCTAATCTTGATACAAGGAGCCTGAGACTCTTAAACTTGAGCAACAATCATCTTACTGGTTCAATATCCTCTGCACTTGGTAAGTTTCCAAATTCATCCTTTTCTGGTAACACAATGTTATGTGGACTTCCTCTGCAACCATGTGCCTCTTCCTCTCCTCTTCCCCCACCCATCTCTCCACCTCCATTACCTCCCTTTCCTCACAAAGAAAGTCCAAAACGGAAGTTACATGTAAGCACTTTCATTCTCATTGTAAAAGTTATCTGAAGACCAAATGCTTTTAAATAACAATACATTATAGTTCATGGCTAGAAATGATTACAGTGTTAAAGTTCAACCATATAAATCAAAAGCTCTACAAGTACACCTTGTGCAGTGCCAATACACAAAACGAAACAACATATATATATAGAGGGAGAGACTGAGAGAGATTCAACATAATATTATAAGAAAATCTAAGTAGATTCCATCCCTGCAAAAGAAAGAGAAGTCCAGATAGCATTGGACCAGTTCACTGCCCAAGAAGAGTTGCAGTAGTGATAAGCATTCAAGATTGGTTTGAGAAATGACCAACGCCAAGTTTGTGAGCTTCAAGTTTAAGTGACTTGAGGTACTGAACAGTTTCATCAAGAACAGAAGCTGTATTCATCTCTTCTCCTCCAGGGACTATTCTCCTCAACACTCCCATCATCTTCTTCATCTTCTTCCTTCCTCCTTTCCCATCATCATTAAAACTACTACCACTCCCAGCTAAACTCTGCTTCCTTCTTGAGCAACATGATTCAGCTGATGATGTATTTCCATACTCCCTGGAAGAGTTATTACGAGCTGTGCTGCTGACCTCTTCTGAATCACCACCATCCTCGTCGTCATCATCTTCTTCATCTGTGCTCAAAAGAGCATCAATCTCATTCAAATCTTCTTCTTGGTGAGAAGAGGAAGAAACTTCTTGACAAAATTTACCATAACTTCCCTCAACATACTCGTTCTGAAACGTGGAAGCTAATCCGGAATTCACGAGCCTAGGTGTCAGCTCAGGATGGTACATCACTTGGCTGCTGCGGTCATACGTTTGGTCGAAAATGACAAAGTTCTTTGGACAGACCGGAGAGGGTTGAAGTTCAAAGCAACTAAATGCTCAGAACCCAAAGCCACTGATCTGATAGTGATCCCTTTCAGAGCCGTAATCACCACTTCCCTACATCGCCGCAAATCGTTTCCCGCTCTCGCTCGACACCCATCTTCTACTGGAAACACCAATCCTATCTAATTTCGAATTCACGAAAACAATCAGATCCAGCAAGATCGTCGGACCTAAAAGCGGACTCTCCTCTCCCCAGACTCACCGTATGTCTCGCCGCCTCTCCAAAGGACGCCGGGACCGTCACCGTGGAGCAGTTCGCACGAATGCAAGAACTCAAACAAGCTCAGATCAGGTTGCATATTGACAAGGTTAGTCGAGGAGGAGGAGAGCAAAGGAAAAAAGAGATTAAGCGGAGAAGGGGTTGCCTCCGGCACAGCCACGGCGGCTGGCCGGAGTTAGGGTTTTATTTTGAAAGTTGTCGCTTTTGGTTTTCACGAGAGAGAAAGCTTTCTACTTAACTAGGGGTATGATGGTATTTTTTGCGTTAAAATTTTAAAGGTAAAAGTGATTAATGTAAAGTTGAAAATGTGTACAAGAAAAGTGGTATTTTTCACAAATTCCCAACAATATAAATGATCTATACATAAATTCTTTGCAAACTGATTTTTCATAATTAACTATATATTAACAAATATAATAATTTTTCAAGGTTATTAAAGACTTTATAACACAATATAAGAAAGTTAGATAAGGATAATTATCAAATTCATGACATTCATTTTTAATTTAGAATTAATTATATATTAACAAATATAATTATTTTCAAGGTTGATAAAGACTTTATAACATAATATTAAAAAAATTAAATAAGTATAATTATCAAATAAATGAAATTCGTTTTTAATTTATAATTAATTATATATTAGCAAATATAATAAATTTTCAAGGTTAATAAGACTTTATAACACAATATAAAAAAATGTAGATAAGGATAATTATCAAATTCATGAAATTCGTTTTAATTTAGAATTAATTTTATATTAACAAATATAATTATTTTTCAAGGTTGATAAAGACTTTGTAACATAATATAAAAAAAATAAGGATAATTATCAAATAAATGAAATTCATTTTTAATTTATAATTAATTATATATTAACAAATATAATTATTTTTCAAGGTTAATAGAGACTTTATAACCCAATATAAAATAATTTTAGATTAAGATAAATTTAAAATCATTGAAATTCGTATATAATAATTTTTCAAGGTTAATAAAGACTTTATAACACAATATAAAAGAGTTAGATAAGGATAATTATCAAATTCATGAAATTCATTTTAATTTAGAATTAATTATATATTAACAAATATAATTATTTTTCAAGGTTGATAAAGACTTTATAACATAATATAAAAAAATTAAATAAGGATAATTATCAAATAAATGAAATTCGTTTTTAATTTCTAATTAATTATATATTAACAAATATAATTATTTTTCAAGGTTAATAAAGACTTTATAACCCAATATAAAATAGTTTTAGATAAAGATAAATTTATAATAATTGAAATTCGTTTTTTATTTATGTTTAATTATATATTGAAATTTTAATGATTCATTAATGGTATAAACGATATTAACCGCTCTAACTTTTAATGCGAGAGATCCGTTGTGAAAAATCACTTCGCAAATAATAGTATAGATTTAAAACATTTATTAGTATTATTTGCGAAATAAGTATTGGCTTTTATTATAATAAATTTAACGTCTCAAAAAAGAAACAAATAAAAACACCTTCAAACTTCAGATTATTGAGAATTATATTGGAAATATACATATATATATATATAATATATGAGATGATTACAACAATAGAGAGGAAAGAAAAATATAATACACAACTTAAAATATAAAAGAGAGACGATCTCATTAGATTGAGAATGAAAATAACACGCATATTCAGCAGACTACGTTTAAGGCAATTAGCATCAATTACGCGTATGTAATAAGCCTGTGCTCGCTAGCGAAAATCGCCAGACACTCTCATGTGAAGCAGGTTAACCCGACGCCTCCTTCAACCCCACTGCAGCTCCGCAATCCCCGACTCCACCGTAGCAGGTACCGTTTAATAAATTTAGTTGTGTTCGCAGTCTCGCTACGACCACTGTGCCTACCCTACCCGCAGCCAAAGAATTCTCTACTACCTGCAAGAATAAGAATTAAAGTAGTCAACTCAATATTTTAATTACACTGTTGCCATATATTCTAACTTGCACCATATGCAGTCAGCGGTTCGATACTACCCCTTATCTATTGCTAAATTAATATACATACTTCAAATTATGTAACAATTATCATTGGTAAATAAGATCCTAACCAAATTCTTTATACACGTATCCGCGCGTAGCGCGTAGAAAGTCTATAGTCTAATTAAGAAAAAAATAAGATTGGTGAGCATAGATTTTGCTTAAATTGATGACCAAATTAATGCGGGTGTTTCTCAGATCAAACCAGATTTTAAGTGGCCATTTCCCAAATCAAATAAACCGGTGACTAATCAAAAGTATTAAAAATTATAGAGAAATAAATTTTAAATCAGAAGTATTTATATATGAATGCACTATTAATCTATTATTTTCTTTGTTCAGTGTTGAAGCTCGGAAAATAATTGATCGAAATGAGTTGAATATAATATAAGTTGCTGGTATGAATTCATTTTTAAAGGTCTCCTTGATAAAAAAAAGACAATAATCTCTTTGCCATGTTATATGTATATATATCAACACACACACAAACATATACAGATACATTACACGCCTTCATGTATATATATGGATACATGCGTGAATGTATATGTTTTTAATAATATCAGAAGAATTGTCATAACAGAGATTCTATATAGAGAGCTTCACAATAAGTCAATAACGTTGCTTACATGAAAGACACATTGATCTTCATTCATCAATTCGACCGATCAGTGAAGAGTACGTGAGATTACCAATACAGAGATCTATCTATATTCTGAATATTCGTAGATCTATCTATATTCTGAATCAAGCCACGAAGGAGACTTTGAAAGACAGTAGTATTCATTTATCAACGCCTACATCGTATCTCTTAAAGATGATTAGAATTGGGATCGAGTCCATAGTGATCAACGTAATGCCCAAGTGCAGCAGAGGGCCATCATCTATAGCTTAACAGAGACCATTGATTTCTACTGTGAAGATCATGTAACATATAATTTGAAGAAGATAAAAAATAAATGAATAACCAAGTTGATCTTATATGGCATTATTTGATCTCAACCATTACATTGGGACATTGAGATGCCATACTTTCATCTTTACCATTGTGTGTTTTAGAAATAGAGCCTATACTGTCTCACTTATGTGAATCACCTTAAACTAAAGAACTACAGTTGATAACAGATATCAAGTGTTCCATGAACATAAATGGAAGCTCTATATGTTGAGAGAGATCCTGCATCAAAATTTGATCGTCACTAACATGCGTTTGAATGTGTAGAATGGCTGAGGTTACCACACCTGTACCACGACGGCGATGTCGTTTCAAAGAGATGAGATGAAGTGAGTATGTTTTTCCATTAAAACGGTGCCGAAGAATTGAACTTCCTCAACACAGCCGGCTAGTAAATCAAACACCACAAAAGCTCTTCCCACAGGTTCACCGGTGCTGATGGAGTAATTGTGTTGAACCGTTGATTAATTTCTTCAAAGAGAAGTAAGAACCCCTGTAAATAAGTATAGAAAGCTGTGTGTTTATTCATGACATTACCAAAGTATATATACAAACTTCACCGACTCTTAGCTATAGGATAACTCCTAACTAACTTACATCATTATCTCAACTTACTTGCTCAGCAAGTATATCTCAAGTATATCTCCTAAGTACAATATATTTAGTAATTATCCCCAATACTCCCCCTCAAGTTGGGAATGTGTAAGTTTCTTACTCCCAACTTGAACAACAATGCCTCAAATTGAGCTCTACCAAGTGCTTTAGTGAGCACATCAGCCACTTGTTCTGTCGTCTTCACATGAATGGTTTCCAAAGTCCCATCTTGTATTGCATCTCGAACTTGATGACAGTCTGATTCAATGTGTTTTGTGCGCTCGTGAAATACCGGATGTGAGTATGAATAAGAAGAAAATTAACATAACTTCTAAAACATTATATATATATATATATATATCTTATTATATAAAACTTGGTTCTTCAAAGTTACTAATTAACAAGTTTGTGACACATGACAATTATATATTTAAGATTGTGACATGTTTATCTCATAATTAATATATCTATATATATATAATTATTTACATAATGACAAAAAAGAATTTGTTAAAAAAATAAATTAGAAATATTATGTAATAGTAATTTTCCATTTTTAAATCCTAAATAAAAGATATTTACAAAAACAATATTTGATAATAATTTTCCTTTTAATGTTATCACATGTATTAAAATATCTTATGATTACAAATATATATATATATTAAGATAATAAAAATTAATTTTGAAGATATTAATTTTAAAAATTGTTTAAAATTAAGAAAAAAGTTAAACGTTTTTAATTGTAGTTTTCCTTTTACAAATCCTAAAGAAAAAGATTTAAAATCATAAAAACGAATTCTGAAAATAATAATTTTAAATATGGTTTAAAAGTAAAAAAAAAAAGTAAAGAGTGTTTAAATGTAGTTTTCCATTTTCTTATAAACCCTAAACAAAAATATATTTGTTAAATAATTTATTTATTACCAATTTGCATTTTCTAAAATCCAAAAAGAAGATTATTTGATAGTAATTTTCCTTTTACAAATTTTATATATGTCAAAATATATCATGACTAACACAATATATATACGAATATGATGAAAATTATTTTTACTATAAAAGTCATTTAAAAAAATAATAGCAATTTTTCTAAACCATGTTGTTTTAAGAAGTTTTATAAAAAAATTGCAAAATAATTTATTTGGTTTTAGTTTTCCTTTTCAAAAATCCTGAAAAAAGGTAATTAAAAAAACTCTTTTGTAATAATTGACCGTTTCTAAAATCTTGAACATAAGAAAATAATGAAAATATGTAATAATCGTTTTCCATTTTTCAATCCCTAAACAAAAAAATATTCGTAAAATAATTATTTCAAATATTATTTTTGTTCTTTTATTCTTAAACAGATGATGATTTTTAATATATATACTCAGATAATAAAACCAAATTTTGATGATATTAATTTTAAAATTTGTTTAAAAGTAAAAAAAAAGAAGTTAAAAGTTTTTTAATTGTAAGTTTCCTTTTCACAAATCCTAAAAAAAAAGATTTAAAATAATAAAAAGGAATTTTTAACATATTAATTTTAAATATTTTTTAAAATTAAAAAAGTGTTTAATTGTAGTTTTTCTTTTACAAATCTTTATTTTCTAAAATTTAAACAAAAATATAAACTAGTATTTGATATTATTTTTTTTTGTTTTTAAATTATATATAAAGAATTTATTCTCTTTTTAAATCATAAGAAAATGAAAATTTTTAAAAAATTATTAACAGTAATTTAAAACATAAAAATTTTGATGATAAACATGATACTAAAACAATTTAATTAACAAAAAAATAAAAAAATAGGATTTTGTCGTTGTTAGTCTTTATATTGATTTTTGTAGGGGTGTCAAAATGGCTAAATTAATGTACAGTTAATATACTAACCTTATAATTTTGTTGATAGTTTACATTGGTATATATTATTATTATCACCGTAATTTAGCCCATTAAACACATTGGTATATATTATTATTATTAACACATGTTTGGTATTTTTGTGTTAGTCATAGAAATAGATTATTATTATTATCACCATAAATGATCTTTATATGTATTTAGTCAAAATTAAATCAAGTTTTATCGTCATCTTATTACATATGTGTTTTAATATATAGTATTTCTGATTCATTTTATTAAAATGTTATTATGAAAATATATCATTTAAATGAATTCATAAAATTATTTAATAACATACAATTTTAATAAAACGCTCTTATTGTTAGTTGGAGATGAGAAACAAGTAATTCAAAAATAACAATAAATTAAGTACACATAGGAAAAGTTATAAATTCAAATCTTGAAAAACTAAAGAAATTGTTTGAAATACTATAAATTAAATACCATTTTTAATACTACAGAAAAAAGTGTATAACATCTGAATATATGATTTAGTGTTTAGGGTTTAATATTTAAGGGATAAAATTAAATTTATAAAGTTATATAAAAATTCCGAATGCATAAAAAGATGCACATAAATTTTTGTGGTTATAAGATACATGTATTGATGGTTTTATTATCACTAATTACATGATAAAAGTGATGATCATAATTATTTCTATGGTTGAATAATTAAAAATTCAAAATCACGTAACGAAAAAATATTGATGGCCACAAATGCATAAAAGTTAAAAAATCTTAACAATAAAAATTTCACTAAAATGACCAATAGACATCAAAATATATTTAAACAATAAGAATAACATATTCAACGTCAAATAAAACAAACAGTATAACAAATCGTCAAAATATGTAAAACAAATATATATTCTGAAATAAACCTCACACAATATATGTAAAAAAAATCCTCAAAATATAACATGAATTCTTATTTTTATATATTTTATAAATATTAAAGCATCAAATAAAATCCGTGCAACACACGGGCCGATATCTAGTAGATATATAATATTGGGATAACATTACATCCAAAGACAAATTAATTTTGAAAAATGTTAACTAGTCAAAAAAAAATTTTAATAAAAAATTGACGAAGCTGGTTCAATATTGAACAAAGCAATCAATTTTAATGGATTGAGCCACTTTTTTGTCAACTCGAATTCGATATTTACAAAACATGGATTTGATTGATACTTGTTGTAGTCGAAGTGTGACAAGGGACTGGATCGGTCTAAAAGACAATATAAAAGAAAACATTGATCTGAAAGCATAATGGGTATTTTAAAAAGCCCAATAAAAAGCCCACTAGTGTAGCGTCGCCAATTTTGCTATCTCCCGCCGAATCATAAAATTTTTCAATTTCCCCCAAAATTAAAGGCTTCCTCGAGACGCTCTCTCTCTCTCTCTCTCTCACTGCAAATCCCAAGTCTCTGTTCAATCCTCTCTTCAATTTCTCCACACTGAAACCCTAATTTCACAACAGAGAAAAGAAACAGATGATGGAGTCAGGTCTTCCTTCGAAGACGTTCTCGGGTGTTCGCTTCGCCCTCGTCGGATTCAATCCCACCGATGGCAACACGGTAATTTCTCTATCTCTCCTCCAATGGGTTTTCAATTCAAAGGGTTTCTGATTCATTCTCTCGTAGAAGCCAATTCACTGATCCATTTTGATATAATCTCTCTGCAGTTACGGTCAAAGCTTCAGAGTGGTGGTGGTGTTGATGTTGGCCAATGCAGTCAAGACTTTACTCACCTCATTGTAGACAAACTTGTTTATGTAAGTCTAATCTCCACTTTTTAGCCTTTCTCGGTTGGAAAGTTTTGATTTTTAATTGTGGGGTTTTGATAGGATGATCCGGTTTGTGTTGCTGCTCGAAGCAGTGGGAAAGTGGTTGTTACTGGGTCGTGGGTTCATCACAGTTTCGACGTTGGAATGCTTATTGATTCAAATTCGGTTAGTCTCACTCTCTATGTTTAGTTCAGTAAAGAAGAAGAATATGATTTAAGTAACAACTTTAACGAAAGGGTTTATCTTTTTGTTTGTTGGATGATTTGGCAGGTTTTGTATAGGCCTCTTAGAGATTTGAATGGGATTCCAGGTTCCAAGAGCTTAATTGTGTGCTTGACTGGGTACCAACGTCAAGATAGAGAAGACATTATGGTGTGTGCTTTTTCACCTTGCTTGTTTGGGGTTTGTGTTTTTCTTACTGTACCTGATGAAAGTTGTTTTCTTTTTCTTGTTCCTCTAGACAATGGTTGATTTGATGGGTGGGCAGTTCTCTAAGCCCTTGGTTGCTAACCGAATAACTCATCTTATATGCTACAAGTTTGAGGGTGAGTCACTTTTAGACATTGGGGATATGTGTTCTCTTTTTTTGGGTGTAAGTGGGGGATAAACATTTGATTGGAGTCTTTCTTTCGTCTCAGGAGAAAAGTATGAGCTAGCTAAGCGGATGAAGAGGATTAAGATAGTGAACCACCGGTGGTTAGAGGACTGGTGAGAGGCATCCATGAGTTTTGTTCGTACTCTTTTTTTTTCGTTTTTGTTTTGTGGATATGCCGATTCTTACATTATGTTTTTTTCCCTTCTTTTCAGCTTAAAGAACTGGAAGCTCCTTCCTGAGGCTGACTACGAGATAAGGTAAAATTGCACTCATATATCTATCTCTGTCCCATAATTGCTATTTTATAGAGTTGGTATAGTCTCTTATTAAGTATCGGCATCATATGAAATCGGTTTAAGGATTCCATGCTAAATTCAGCTTTGATTTGTAGTAGTTACTAATTAGCATTGGGTATGTCACATGAAAAACACTCTCCCACTACAAGCTGACCACTTTCTCTGTTCTCAGTGGCTATGACCTGGAGATGATGGAGGCTTCAGCTCGGGATTCTGAGGACGAAGCAGAAGATGCCTCTGTGAAGCGTGCGAACAACAGTCCTCTTGGTCTTAGGGTCGGTACTGTAGCTACAGTTAAAATGCCCAAGTCAGAAGGAAAAGATATTCCGGTTGTCCAAACAAAACCAGATGAACAGGGCGGTTCATCACTATGCAATACGTCCAAAGATAATTGGTTAACTCCTAAAAAGATGGAAAACACGGTCTCTACTGATGCAGTTGCTGCTCAGCAGAAAGCAGGCACATCTCAGAATACTTCTAGTTATGCGTCCCCTGTTCAAGTCAACAAGACTTCTGAGAGAGTGATGGGCAAAATGGAGACTGATGGCACAACACCTGTTAACGTGAGTATCAGAAGGCATTCTTCTCTAGCCACTTATTCAAGGAAAACACTTCAGAGATCGCCAGAAACAAGTACCTTGGGAAACGAGTCAAGTTGCCAAAACGGTACCTTGAGAATGGATGACAGAGGCCTAAAAGCTTCGTCTGCCTTTAATATCTCTGCATCAAAGTCAGGTTCTTCCTTGGAAAGAACGACACTCTTTCAGGATCTTGATAAGATTGATAAGTTGGATGGCGAGGTGTCTCCTCGTCCCGTGTTGCCTCAGGGGAAACTAACAGATGGATCTGTCAGTAGCAAAGGTTCAGAAAAGATACACCACAGCAGCGAGGCAAGTATTCCACTACCCACTAGTTTGTTACCGCAGGAATTAAGAACGGGTTCGCCTAAAGAAAACCTTAGGCCTGTGCCGAGCATTAACGATCCAACTGAAAGGAGGAAAGTTGGCCATAACTCGCCTGCTATATCAACTGCAGAGAAAATCATTTCGAAAGGTGTACCGGATGAAATACCGGAGAGGTCATCAGTTGAGCCAATGATGGGCAATATCTCGTTGCAGGAACCAAGATCAGGCTCACCTAAACAAAACCTTATGGTTGTGCCAAACATCAATGACAACACTGAAGGTAAGGAAGTTGCACATAATTTGGATATGACTGATTCGGCAACTAAGCTATTCAGTTCAAGTGGTGTGTTAATGGAAGCTGATAAATGGGCTGCACTAGATAAAGTACCTGAAAGATCCGTAACTGAGCCTGTAATGATGAGATCTAGCACCTCTCCTGGGACGGGTTTAACAGGAATGATGGATCAAGTAGAAACAGAGCTGCCCAAGAAGAAAACAGCTCCAAGAAAGACTCTAGGGACCAGAGGCAGGAAAAAGAACCCTATTAGCCAAAAGGGATCTATATACTTGAGCGAACCTACCCCAAAGGACGAGCACACTGATGGTCTAATCAAAGGAAACGTTTTGGCTTCGGCAACAGATGATGGCAATCAGAAAGAGATATCAAGTCCTGTCCTAAATGCTGAGGTTTTACCAGAAATGGCCAAACGTAGTGACTCAGAGACTGAAGCCCTTGATAGAGTTGACTCTGATAAGCTGCAGGCTAAGACCCCAGAGGAAGCTGATGCAGAGGCGGAAATTACAATGCTAGAATCAGAGCTTGCTGATGTTCCAACTAAAGATCCAAGTGATGGTGCATTACAATTAGGGGCCACTAAGAGTAATAATAAACGCACGGGGAAGGCTACTGTGGGTAAAAATAGCCTTCTAAGTGGGAAGAAAGGAAGTTCTTCAATAGCCCAAGTAGGAAATTCTGGTAACATGAAGACCAAAAAGTCTAGAAAAGAAGATGATGCCAAAGCAAACGATACAGTGATGGAGGATATAAGGGATAAATCAGCGAACGAGATGGAAAGCTCTGCATTGGAAAATGAATCTGGGAAGGTCAGTTCTGGTGGAGACCAAAGCCCAGCTACTGGAGAAACATTAGTAAGTACTGAAGCTGAAACTAAGGATCCAAGCGATGCTCCAGTGCAATTAGCAGTTGGTAAGAATAATGGCAAACGCAGAAAGGAAGCCACTGGTGGAAAAAATAAGCTTCAAAGTGGGAAGAAAAGAAGGTCTTCTACAGTCGAACCTGAAAAGGATAGTGTCAAAAAGACTAAAAAGTCCAAAAATGATGATGAGACGGAAGCAAACGATGCTGTGATGAATGGTATAGGGATTAACTCTGCAGAAGTGAACGAGAAGGTAGCCGTGGATAAGAAACCTGAGGATGTCAGTTCTGAAGGAGTTCAAAGCCCAGTTGCAAGGAAACCATTAGCAAGAAAGGAGAAAGTAGCGAAGGACGATGCTGCAATGCAGTTGGAGGTTCCTAAGAATAAGCGTAAAAACAGAAAGGAGGCAACTGTAGAAAGAAGTAGCCTTCAAAGTGGAGAGAAAGAAAGTTCTTCGACAATTGAAGTAGGAACATCCAGTGTCAAGAAACCTAAAAAGTCTAAGAAGGAAAGTGCCGCCAAAGTAACCGACACTGTGATGAAAGACGTAGATGATAACTCTGCAGAAGAGAAGGAGAACACTGCAGTGGATAATAAATCTGGTAGAGACAAAAGCCTAAGAAAGAAAGCTGCAAAGTCAGCTAAAACGGGGACAAAGGCGGTGAAAGAGTCAAAGCAGCTCAGTAAAAAAGCTCTACAGGAACAGAAACAGGAACCCAAGCATTTTATAGTCAGTGGTCCTAAGGTCCAGAGAAAGGAATACCAGAAGATCCTTAGGCTTTTAAAAGGCAAAAGTTGCAGGGATTCTCATCAGTGGTCTTATCAAGCTACACATTTCATTGCTCCTGAAATCCGTAGGACTGAAAAGTTTTTCGCTGCTGCTGCTTCTGGAAGGTACATATTAATCCGTTGAAGTTTGCTAGTTTAGCTTCTGCTTTGATAAGATCTGTTTCTTTTCATCTTTTACTCATCACTTTCCTTTAATGCAGTTGGATTCTGAAAACTGATTATGTGGCTGATTCAAAGGAAGCTGGGAAGCTATTACCAGAGGAGCCTTATGAATGGCACAGTACTGGTCTTAGTGCTGATGGTACAATAAGCCTTGAGTCCCCAAGGAAATGGCGGCTCGTCAAGGAGCAAACAGGACATGGGGCTTTACAAGGCCTGCGCATTGTTGTATACGGTGACTGCTCCATCCCTTCTTTGGTAAGTAACACCACAATGCTGACACAGTTGAACACTTGAATGATATATTTATAGTGGAAACGTTTGTTCTTGGTTCTTGATTGTCTTTAATTTGCGTCTCTCCCTCTGATCAGGACACGTTGAAGCGAGCTGTGAAAGCAGGGGATGGTACTATACTAGCAACCGCACCGCCTTACACGCGGTTCTTGAATCAGAACACTGATTTCGCGTTGATAAGCCCCGGGACGCCGCGTGATGATGTCTGGATCCAGGAGTTCATACGGCACGAGATCCCTTGCGTCCTCGCGGATTACATTGTGGAGTACGTTTGCAAACCTGGATACGCACTTGACAAGCACGTGCTCTACAATACAAACACATGGGCAGAAAGGTCTTTTAAGAAGCTCCAGCTTAGTGCTAGAGACTAAAGAGGAAGAAGCTCAGCTGGTGCATGTTGCTTGTGACTCACGGAGCTATATGATAACCCAAAATCATTTCTCCCTCACAAACTTCATGTTCTTCATGCCTGTTTATCTCTTATGTAATAAATATATCAATCGCATTAACTTGTTTTGGTGACTTTGTAAAATAATAACAAGTTTGGAGATTCAAGTTAAAATAGATTATTTCTTCGGTTAGTGGGAATAGATTATATGGTTTCTTACCTTGTAAAAGACACAGAAACCACCTTGGCTGAGTTCTTTGGATTCAAATGAAGTTATTCGTGGCCTACACAATGGTGCTAAAGTCCAAAATGTAATATCCTTCTCTTGCTAATCATCATCTTCTGAGTTTCAAACTAGCTCATGAAAAAGGAGAAATAGCAAGAGAAGGATTCTCGTTTATTTAGCACCATCGTGGAGGCTACAGATAACTTCTGCCTTTGTCCATTCCTCGTTTCAACCGTATAGTTTCCAACTTTGCATGAAAAAAAAAAAATAATAAAGAGAGAAGGTTTCTTTCTACGAAAAGCACTTGTGTTTCGATGTTCTATCGCTTATTATTCAGTGGCAAATCCAACATCAATATATATCAATGGGAGAGACCCTATTTTTCTAACGATCAACTGTCTCTATACCTTACTGAACAGTGAACAATGCATCTATCTTCATACCCTATCTGTTCTAACCATCAACTATTGTCTCTCTGAACAATGCATCTATCCCCATACCCTATTTCTTCTAACCATCAACTGTCCCCTAGTGAATATTATTGCTCTGTTTCCTCAATCACTATACTCTTTCTTTTGCTTTTTCAACAGTAAGCCTTTTTAAGCACAGAAAAAAAAAAGATTTTCATATATAAGTTTGTTTTTGTTCCAATGAATTTTCGTATACAGTATTAGTTTCTTATTTTTTCTGTAACTGACTTTTAATTTGTAAGTTTGTCTGATCTCTGATAAAAAGAATTGGTTTATGGTATAGAAAACGTTTTTCTTAAATGAAAAATCTGATTATGAAAATGAGTTGGAAAAACAAAATCAGAAGTAAAAGGTTCTATAAGTTTTTTTTTTTTGACTAAAAGGTTCGATAAGCTTTGCCTCCTTATATCCACTATCTATTCTTTTGAGATAGAGGATAGTCTTTAAATTATCGTTCACATAGTCTCATGTCAAATGCTTGACAAGACTTTTAATTTTTGTTTTTGTTCCAGTGACTTTTAATTGACAAGACTGTTTTTTTTTTTTTTAACATGCAAAATTTTATTTAATCAAAAACATTGTTGCAACAAGAGCTACATCAAAGTGAAGTAAAAACTCCAAAAACAAGATATCACAAGGGACAACAATTATGCAAAAGCAAACAAAGATCAAGAAACTCACTACTCAACACTCCTCAAATTTAACCATGTGAAACAAGTCAAAATTTAAAAAGATATTTTCCTCATTAAAACCTTATCAAAGTAAATCCAAATGGGACAAACCTTTAATAAAAAAAGTAAAAATACTAAGATCCCAAGAGTGTTAAGCATAATCATTGCCCGTGTGTGACCTCCTATTACAGACGCAAAGAAACTCAACCAAGGACAAGACTTTCTCTTACCCGAGACTTCAGTGTAAGAGATATCTTCCCCTCTATATTATATTCTTCCATGAACTAAAAGCACATCCTCTCTTCACTTTCAACACTGCTTGTCCCAGAACTTGAAGCATAACCACAGGCTGTGTTCTCATTTCAACAGACCTGAGTAGAGCGGTTCTTCTCAAGTCACTTGAATGACAGATATCGCTAGGCGATGACGGAAACCTTCCTTCTGTGTCAGATTCCTCTTTGGCGACACTGTGGAGTTGTACTAGTAGTACTCATGGAGGCAGGGCATGAATGTGAATTTGACAGATGGAGTGAGGTTGTTGAAGTAAAACTAAGTCTTTGGTACTGCTATGTTGAAACAGGACTAGTTGGGCGGCTCTCGGGTTGCGATGAGCTAGTGCTTGTTGGGTCCTCGTAAAATCTGACTTAGGCGGAGTCTTCAGACATGGGAAAGTATTGTAATGGCAAGTCATCCCTCTGTTATCAACCATAGATAGTTATGTCAAAAAATCTTAACAGAAAAAAAGAAAATTTCACGTTCAGGGGTTTGTTTATATACTTGATTTAGGCATTTTACATATCCACTTTAAGACCATTCAGCTATATGTATAATCACATCTATTTGCAAAACTTTATGCAAACATGATGTGAGGAAAAAGATGACAAAACAGACCATTATCTACTGAGGAAAGTGATGGTTTGGAGGTACGTTTTAACTAATTAAGTGAGAAACAATCTTACCAAATACATTACCTTTTCTTAATGACTTGTTATTAGAAGATATATCGATATTGTAATGATATGAGTAGTTAATCTCACAAAGCCAAGAAAAATATAGCCACGGTGTGACTGAAAAAACTTGAGAATTTGCTGCTCTGTAATGGTCTTAACTCTTCTTAAGCATAGCCATCCCAAAGCTATAAATATCAGCTTCCCCAACATAATATTAGAATGTTGGAAAAGCTGATGTATATAGCTTTGGGGTGGTTATCCTCAAGAGTTATAGACCATTACTGAGCAACAAAATATCAAGTTTGTTAATCACACCTTGGCTATATTCTTCTTCCGTCTTGTTCAAAAAAGGCTCCAAGGATAATCCTGCAAAAAATTGCAGGCCGTCCTCTTCTCTTTGTTGTTCACTCTGTTTTTGTGTTCTTGTTCAAGAATAGGGAAAACTTTTTTAGACTTTGGAAACTAAGAATGAAGTAGATGGAGAAACTGAATTTTCCCATACATTACACAACATCTCATAGCACATATTTATACACTCCTTACCCATACTTCTAGTTCTGGACTTTTAGACTAAAATATCAAACAAACACAGAGACTTTTATCTAACCAAGTCAACAATAAGTTCTAACAACCCCATTGACTTGTTGCATCTTCTCATTTTCCCACGTTTTATGCCTTTTGGTTTGAGAATAAATGGGCATCATTCAACAGGAAGACCCTATCTGTTATAGCCCATCAACAATTGTCTCTCTGACCTAATGAACAAAGCATCTATCTCCATACCCTACCTGTTCTAACCACAACTATTGTCTCTCTGACCTACTGAATAATGCCTATCTCCATACCCTATATGTTCTACCCATCTACTGTGTCCCATAACGAACATCATTGCTCTGTTTCCTCAACTACTTTGGCATTCCAGCAGATGGGTCCACTTTCCTGGTTTGGTTGTAAACTGATCTGCTGTTTCTGTACCACACAAATGTTTGAAAAGGAGTGTAATTGGCATCTGTAATTTTGTTTCCTTTCTTTCTTTCTTTCTTTTGTAATTTCAGTAGTAAACTCTTAACAAAAATAACAATGTTTTTTTTTTACAATGAGTGCAATCCTGAAGAACAACTATTGCTTCATACCTCACTGTTATTCTGCGAAAAGAGGATTATGATGAAAAGGCGATATTCAGAAACTAACTATGCAATGAGAGAAACACATGAAACCTTAAGGGAGGTGAGATCATAACCAATTGCATTGATAGACAAATTGGAGAGTGTTCATCATCTTTCGCATAGTCTCATGTCCAATGCTTTACAAGACTTGCTCTTACCAGAGACTACTTCAGTGTAAGAGACATCTTCCTCTCTACTAAAACCTCTATCTTCTTCCATAGACTTAAAACACATCCTCTCTTCACCATCAACACTGCTTGTCCCTGAACTTGAAGCAATACCACAAGGCTGTGTTCTCATTTGAACAGACCTGAGTAGAGCGGTCCTCCTCAAGTCACTTGAATGACAAATATCGCTAGGTGACGACGGAAACCTTCCTTCCGTGTCAGATCCTCTCTGGCGAGGTTGTGGAGTCGTAGTAGTTGTTGCATTAGTGGTAGGGCATGAATGTGAATTTGATGAATGGTATGAGGTTGTTGAAGTAAAAGGTTTTTGGTATCGGTAGGGTGAAACAGGGCTAGTAGGGCGGCTGTTGGGTTGCGATGAGCTAGTGCTTGTTATTGGGTCCTCGCAGAATCTAGCTTCGTCAGAGTCTTCTGACATGGGAGAGTACTGTAGTGTCAAGTCATCCCTGTGTTAATTGAAGCTCCTCATCAGAGATAATAATAATGTCTAAAATCAGTGCTTCCTTAACATTTAACAAAAAAACCCAATAAGATCATTCAACTATATAATATACAATCAGATCTATTCCGAAAACTGTGAAGTATAAGTAACCTGTGGTTGTTGGGATAAAGAAAGGTCTCAGAGCGAGTAGGAGAGTCTAACATGTTGACGGGGAGCGAGTCTCCGACGGTTAGTCCGTTTAAACTGCAAGCCATTATCTACAGACGAAGATGATTAGCCAAAATCTCAATAAAAGCAATTTTAAACACCAAACAGTTGCATACATCTCATTCAAGTGACCAACCAAGTTGCTTGATTCGGAAAACAAAAATCTATAGAAGCAATTGAACGAAGAACTTATTCTCAAACGAATCAACTGACTTTTACAAAAGCCAAACCTCAATAGAAGCCGTTGCAGTCAAACTCAGAATTAATAGAATTAATCATAGAGAGAGAGAGAGCAAACCTCGCTGAGATAACGTTTCTGGGAGCGGGGGTTATCGAGATAGACCTCGTCTTCTGGATCTCTTGTTCGTTTCCCGCTCGGCGAAGAAGACGACGCCGACGCCGACGCCGGTGATGATACTGATGTTGGCGTCGATCGCGATTCCGGCCCCATTTTCAAACCCTAACAAATTTTTGACAGTGCATCAAAAGAATCTATAAAGCGGTTATGGATGTGATCAGTCACCAAATCTGATTTAAAATATTTGAAAAGTCAAAAACTAATTTTCGTTTTATCGGAGAAGAAACGGGAAATTATGTTAAAGCCCAATTGGATCAGAAGATAAGCCCAAATATTTAGTTATCTTTTTTGGAGTCTGGTGATGTTTGTTGCAGTTTGGTATTTCGAGGGTTACTGACTACTGGGACTTTCGGGTGGTATATGATGTTTGTTGTATCCGTTGAAATGCTATTAGCATCCCATATGAAATTTTTAAGAAATATATATATATCATGATTTTGCATGTTCAAAGCAAAAATGTTTATCCTAAAAGGACCACTATAAGATCCTGAAATTTATATATATGTGGTGTTTGCTGTAAATTATTTTGATTTGTTAAAATGGTGTTTACGTTTTTAAAATTCTGATAACGATTCTTTCCTCTAATTTCACACCCTACGTACATATTTCATGTGCGATGAATACATATATGCATAGAAATTGACACACAATACTCGTTGTCGGTTTTCAACAATAGTTTATTTCGATTAAATTATTTGTTGGTGGCAAAAAAAAAAAACGTGAGACTCAATATAAAATCAAACATAAACTAAAAATGTAAGAACTGTTATAGTAATTGTTATGAAGGTCTACCATGTCTGCTTCTTTTGATTATCAAGCTTCTCTTTTAAAGCCTTCCAAAGATCCAGAGTATTGTGTTCTCGTATATTTTAATCTAATTTTTTTCAGAAATATTATAGTTTTAGATTTTTTAATGAGAAGCAGATTTATTTTCTTCTTTTATCGTGTCGTGTATTTTCTGAACATATACTGAGGTTCTGTTGATAAGGTAAGTGTAGTTTTCAACACTTAATTCATGTGTTTTTTAGAGGTTTTTTATCTTTTTGCGGCTTCGAAGAACAGAATTGCTGTATAGCAGATTCGGGTTCAATTCATTGTAACCAAAACCTTCATTCCATGAATGATATTTACCATTTAGCAAAAAAAAAACAACAACAAAAACGTTCAGCCGAACCGGACTAATCCCAGATGTTGTTTGGGTGCTACCCAAAATATATCCTTTCAGTTATAAAGGAAACCCAAAAAAGGCTGTTGTCAAACTGAGATGAATGAATCATCCTATCTAGGGCCTAATCCTATCCTATCATATATTAAACTTAATTTAATCTTAGACGCAATCAATTAAGCAACATTAGAACAACTTTAACGGGAGAATAGTTAATTAATTTGTGATATCTAAATATGTAAAAAAAATTACTTAAGTTTTATTTGACAATTAAGTTTTAATTTTAAAATGACATAAACCACTGGAAAATAGACATGTGGACACAAAGTATCATCGCAGAGGTCTGATTAGGTATACTTTCTCTCACAGGTTCTGTCTTTTCTTACTTTTAAAATTTTATATTATTATCTTTTTTAATATTTTGAGCTAAAACTCCATTGTTTAAGGTCTTATTTAGATAAATCTGATTGGTTCAGATAAGTAAGGAGAACCTTCCTCTTACGAAATATCACCTCTCCACATGCTATCAGTGGCGTTGACTAAGATCCACTCGTCATATCCAGGTTGTAAAGGGGTGAATAAAAGAATGATTATGAGCATCAAAAGCACGTTCCACATTTCAAGTAGATTAGAAAAGAATACTATCATTATAAGCTCGCCTGATCGTGTTTAATTAACTACTTCTTAATTAATTAGTCGTCGGTAGCGTTGATGGAGATCAATGCATAATCCAGGTCCACCTTGTAAAGAATAAATAAATGTAAACGCGTTCAGTGTGACCAGTAGAAAACAAAACAAGAAAATGGTATTGAACTCCTTTATATTGTATTATATCCCTGGCTAATCTATATAACACTAGCAAGGAACTCAACAAAAAGAGCACAAAGCAAGAAATCAAAAGAAGATCAAGAAAGAAAAGAAGATGATGAAAACAGCCGGTGCAATCACATTAATATTCCCAATGATGATGATATCTTTATTGCTCATTGCAATAACAGCTTCTGGCGCTGTTGACAGCGATGTGGTGCTTGATTCAAACGGGGATCCGGTACGGGCCTTTGCTCCATATTATATCGAGGTTCGGACTTCCCAAGGAAGAAGAGCAAATATTTCCGAGTTCGGAATCGATGAAAATCATGCCTTGTCATGCCCACAAAGAGTGGTAGCGTACTCTGATGAACTTATGGGAATCGCTAAACCAGTTATATTTCTATTTTCAACACATTTCGTGCGTGTATCGGCAGAGCTTAGCATCAAGTTCGCATGGACCACTGAATGCGACGAGCCCGGGGTCTGGAAAGTGGCAGATAGCATAGATGGCTCATCATGGGCAACCAAAGAAATATTCCTGTCGGGAACGGATTCAAGCAGTGACAGCACCTTCATCATCAAGAAATCTGAGAACGGATCTTACAAGTTAGCTTTTGGAAGTTCTGAAAAACCACAGGATTTCGGTTTAGATGAGATACGTTATGGAGTGTGGAGGTTGATATTGTCGAACAACTCTGGCTTTACCGTTTCTTTCGTCCCGGCGTAATGTTCCCACTTGTACCGGCTACTGCTTCTGTCCTCTTCTTTTTTCCTGATTTTAAATTTAAATCAAATGAACTGATGTTAGAAGTTTCAAGGCTCTAAAACAAATGTTGTAGTATATGAGATTGTCGAACTAATTCTAAGGAATTTTAAAGCACTGAGAATACAAGTACTCACTTAATCTAAGTGCAATCGAATAAATGATGGTTTTAAACTATAACTAAGAATAAGAAAAGCCATAACTAAAATAACTTCCTTGATTAAGAGAAATGAGAACTTATGGGAGTAGGGAATTTGACCTTGGGTGATCAGGTTTCGAACTAAGGATGACAATTGATCAATCAAACTATCGACCTTAAGCCTAGACACAATTCTAAATGATATACCATGATTTTGACCCTTTTTTGGTCATGGTATTGATATGTTTTTATGATAATTATCTATGTTTTGGAGTCTATTAGGTATGTTTTCAAGTTCAGGAGAATTTTGTAGTAAAGTGATGATTTAGGTGCCTCATGGAGCTTAAATGAGAGTTTTCCAAGATGACTATGAAGATCCGACAATGAGAGACACATATCGATCGATACACACCTTGTGTAATCGATCAATGACGATTCCGTAGAAGTTGAAGTCGAGATACTCCATCGATCGATGTACACCATGTACCATCGATCGATACAGAGCGTGATGAGCAAGATTTACTTGGCTGATTTGAAGCCCAAGTTCTCACCAAATTATAAGATTGCCCCTGACGATTTTTTAACCTAATTGTACTCATATTTATAGTTATGCCTATGAGCCCTAGAAAGACATGAAATCAGAAAGTATCGAGTTTTTATCTAAGTTTTGTATTTTATTTTATACTTAGCAATAAAGTATTTTCTTTTCATCTTATTCTTTTTCTATGAATCTCTTGTCTATGTCTAAGTAAACTCATTTGTTAGATTTAGGGTTCAAATAGTTATGAGGGATTAGCCCCAACTATGGAGTGTTGAGTTGTTATATTCATTATCCAAATGAACCCTAATGCTTACTCTAGATTAGGTACCTAGAGGTATGATTATGGAGTGACTAATCTAATAGTCATTATCCTGAAATCATTTGGCTAAGCTCAGACTCTATTTGGCACGTGCGATAGGCGATCTAATAGAAATTCTCGGGTGAACACAGTTTCAATTCGATCCGATGCTATATCGATCGATACTCCTATAGAGTTATCGATTGACGGCAAAACATATCGATCGACACTGCGATAGCAAAATCGATCGATACTGTCGGCAATCAGATCAATGGACGAGTCTAATAGCGACAGCTATAGATTTGTCTAAGGATTGAAGTTCTCATATATTTGCAAGCAATTCGTTAAGACATCCATATATTTATAATCCTGATTTTCTGAATAGTAACCTTGAATCTAGCTACTTTCTTTTATTTTAAAACCCATTCTTCTTAGCAACTTACCATTGCTACCAACTTTTATTTATTGTTTTAAACCTAATCAACCTAGCTTAATCACTTAGGATTATATCTTTTGTGACTCTAGTTCCTTGTGGATTCGATCCCTAACTACTACGATTGAACCTCTTATTTGAGAGAGTAATTCACTCCTTAAGGTTAAACATTTGAGTGATATCACTAAACAAGCTCTATGTCTAGATAAATGCTCATTTGCTAACATATCTCAAACATCAAATGTCTTTGGTTGAATAATATGAAAGCAATCATTACTAACAAATCTATTAGCTATCTTAGCACCTTTAACAACAAATGTCTTTGGCAAAGTATACTAAAATCCTAGGAGAGTTGACTCAGGTATTTCATCGAACACCTTGTGAGGTGTGAAATACCTAAAGATCAACCTTTGAGAGGCCAACTCAAAAGGTGCATTAAGGATACTCTACTAGCAAGGAACAAGATAAATCTGCACTAAACATCCTCGTTCTCACTTGCTGGAGCAGCAGGTTCCCTATATTGTACTGTTTTCTTCTTTTCTCCAACCTTTCCTTTACCTTTAGCTTCCATAATCTTCTCCAAGATCTCACCATTGGTCTTCTCATCAACAATTACCACATCATCATCTAAGTTGATGGCCACCTCCTCACCTAGTTTCTTAGCATCCTTGGTGAGGGTTCTAGGAGGTAACTGCTTACCACTCTGAAGGGTGATAGCTTTGGCCTCCTTGGGGTTTTGGTCAGATTTTCTAGGTGGAGATCCTTGATGGCGATTCTGGTGAGTGTTCATGGAAGCAAACTGATTCTCTAAATTCTTGACTGTAGAAGCAAGGTGTGAGAATTTGTTGTTGAGTTCATTGTAGCTCCCATCAATCTTGGAATGAAGGTTCTTCAACTCATAACCAACATGCTTCTCACTTCTAGTCTGAGACTCCAAGATTTGTTTCAGTAAGGCATCAGTGCTACTATCTTGAGGAGCATAGGAACCATGAGAGGGGTTTTGCTGAGGTTGATAACCACTTTGTTGGTTGTTAGGATAGGATTTCTGTTGGTAGTTGTTGTACTGAAAGTTGGGCTCCTTTTTGTACCAGCTACCATTGTTGTTGATGAAACACAACTCTTCTTGACCTTCCAAACCCTCAACCTCATTCACTGTAGGTGGATTTTCCTGCTTGGAGTTACCAACAGACTTCAGCTGCTCTTGGGTGGCTTTTTCAGCAATGAGTAGGTCGATCTTGTCTTCCAAAGCTTTGATCTCCTTCCTTGTCTGCTTATCATAACCCAACTGCCTTTGTCATGGTCTCCACTGTAGACTGCGTCACTCTTGACCATGTTGTCAACCAGTTCCTCAGCATCTTCCTCAGACCTTCCCAAGAAGAACCCATTGCTAGCAGTATCCTATCTTGCTCTGTACTTAGAAAGAGCACCTCTGTAGAATGTACTCAGCAAGATTTCCTTGGAGAAACCATGGTGTGGGCATTGTGCTTGATAGCTCTTGAATCTTTCTCATGCTTCGCTGAATCCTTCCTAGTTCTTCTGTTGAAAGCTGGATATCTCATTCCTCAGCTTGGCAGTTCTTGAAGAAGAGAAGAATTTCTCCAAGAATTCTTTCTTGCACTCATCCCAGGTAGTGATAGAGTAACTAGGAAGGGACTTCTCCCACTGACGTGCTTTGTCCCCTAAAGAGAAAGGGAATAACTTCAACTTGAAGGCATCCTCGGACACACCATTCGTTTTTGACAACCCACATTAGCTGTCAAATTTGTCCAAGTGATCAAATGAGTCTTCTACAGGTAACCAATGATATTTGTTGTTCTCAATGACGTTGAGGAGTCCTGGTTTGACCTCAAAGTTGTTGGCTTCCACAGCTGGCGCACGGATTCTTAACCTATTGCCATGTAGATTTGGGCGGTCATAGGTGCCATTAGGGCGAGCTGGGCGGGCTGGGTGAACTGGTTGTTTTTGCCCGTTGACGTTAACCGGTGGGTCCATGTCAGTATCCAACATCTGTTGCTGAGCTTGTTGCTCTGCTTGTTTTCTCTGTCTTGCAATCTCTCTTTCAAACGCTCTGATATCTGGAACTCTTGGAACAAGGTTTGTTGTGCCTTTGCTCCTCAAGTTCATACACCTGAAATCCAAAGAGAGATGAAGATAAAGAATCAGTAACAAAATAAAAGAAAGATGACTTAGTCTCAAGCAAGTGACTAAATCTCAATGTTTAAATCTACTTAGAATTTGGCAACGGCGCCAATTTGATGTTAGGAGTTTTCAAGGCTCCTAAGACAAATGTTGTAGTATATGAGATTTTCGAACCAATTCTAAGGGATTTTAAAGCACTGAGAATGCAAGTACTCACTTAATCTAAGTGCAATCGAATAAATTATGGTTTTAAACAATATCTAAGAATAAGAAAAACGATAACTAAAATAACTTCCTTGATTAAGAGAAAGGAGAACTCATGGGAGTAGGGAATATGACCTTGGGTGATCAGGTTGCGAACTAAGGATGGCAATTGATCAATCGAACTATCGACCTTAAGCCTAGACACAATTTTAAACAAGCTCTATGTCTAGATGAATGCTCATTTGCTAACATATCTCAAACATCAAATGTATTTGGCTGAATAATATGAAAGCAATCATTACTAACAAGTCTATTAGCTATCTTAGCACCTTTAACAACAAATGTCTTTGGCAAAGTATACTAAAAGCCTAGGAGAGTTGACTCAGGTATTTCATCGAACACCTTGTGAGGTGTGAAATACCTAAAGATTAACCTTTGAGAGGCCAACTCAAAAGGTGCATTAAGGATACTCTACTAGCAAGGAACAAGATAAATCTACACTAAAGATCCTCGTTCTAATCTAACCACCCTTAATCTCCATATCCCATGAATTCAATGGTGGATTACTCACTAATTGACATGATTTCTCTTAAACCCATTCTGGATTCAAGCTTAATCATATGAAACTAATGGAATCAACAATGAAACAAAATAAGAACAATAAGAATGATTCAAAAGATGAACTTTCCAAGAGTTTTTGTATGTTTTCTCTTCCAAAATCAAGATAGATTTGCAATGGAGGCTTACTGAATACTTAACTTAGGTTTTCCAAATGTCAAAACATGAAGAAAATGACCAAAAGGCCCCAAAATTAAACAAGTTTTTTGAGCACTCATAACACGCAGCGACCTGACCAAGTCGCTCTGGGAGGTCGCTCTGCGTCTGGAGCGACTTGGTCAGGTCGCTCCCCGACCTCGCTCCAAGGCCATTTTCGGCTATTCCTCGTTACAAAATTGCGAGCGGCCATAGGGCCTCGCTCCAGACGTCGTTGTGGGTTGGGAGCGACCCCCTTAGGTCGCTCCAGCTGGTCGCTCTAGAGGCTTCTCGTTGTGGGGCTGGAGCGACTTCGTGGAGTGGCCTTGGGGTGTCGCTCTAGCATGGAGCGACTTCATGAACTCTCTCTAGAACCTCGCTCTGGCCTCTACTCGAGCAATAATCACCTCAAACTCCTTCTTTGGACCTCAAATCCACACAATCACCTCCAAGAACTCCAAGGATACTCCATTACCTGAAAAAGGAATCATGTATGCAAAACGCAACATAAGAATGACTAGATCCTAGTCTATATGGTCAAAATGCACACGGATGAATGGATAAAACAATAGTAATATGCAAGACATCATGAACATGTGGCTTTCTTTTTTTCTTTTGGTGTAATTTAAAATGAAAAACAATAATGATAATTAATAATAATAATTGCATAAACTCCTTAGTATATATAACCAGGCTTCTAGTTCTAGTGGTAAAGGGCTTACAGCTGTGAGTACCGCCACCTGAGTTCGAATCTCAGCCACTGGGTAATTTCGCCAGGGATAGAGGACCGACACGTGGCAACACGTGACTAGTC